TGTGGATGCCTTTGATGTATTTTCTAATCTGTTATTAAAGTTATGAACCTTCTATGTTTGTTTGATGCCTCATACTTCTTAAACAACATACATAACACCTATGACATTAATAAATAATAACGATTTCGTGTCTTTTGTTTAAATGGACAGGAGGTAGTTTCTTTTTTATCCTGTCCTCTAACCCAAGAACTTCACCATCAACAATAAATAGGTACCTATACCTGGAGCAAGACAGGACTGGTGAAAGATGACTCCCTGAGGCACCTGGTGTGACTAACTTCAGACTGAAAATACTTGACCTTACAACCTGACTCCTGCCTACAAGATAAGAGTACAGCCATTGATGAAGTGAGCCGCATTCACCATATTTAGAAAGATTGTCTATTAACAGTGTATGACTTACCCTATTGAAGGCTTTGCATAAGTAGGTATAGACAGAATCTACAAGGCCCTCAATAAAAATATGGCTGCTTCATACATTAACAAATTTGATAATATAGATTAGCTCAAGGGCGTACCCAGGATCTGAAATAGGGGGGGGGCTGACCAAAAAAAAAAAACAATGGATTTTGCATTTCCCTTTTTAATTACTAAATTTTGACGTAACTCGCTTAATTTTTCCTTCAATAACAATTTTCTTGGATTTGTCGCAAATTTATTTAAAACTTGATTTTCAAATTGCTCTCGATTTGATTTAATTAAATCACGATGCACACTCATGAGACATAATCCTGTTAACCTTTCCTCTCCCATGGTACTTCTCAACCAAGTCTTCACTCTTCGAAGAGTACTGAAGGATCGTTCTACAGTGGCCGTGGTGCATGGAATTGTGATTAAAATCAAAAGTGCCTGTTTTAGGATGGGATAAAAAACATCGGTCTCGTCGAGAAGGTCAGTTATTTCGACGTCTTTTAGCTGGTCCTCAGTTGACTTTTTTTCCTTCCAAAAATTATACCATAGGTCCATTTCCGCAGTAATATCGTCCAATTTATAAAACTGGGTAAAATATTGTGCATTTTGTTCTACTTGATTGGTTTCCATGTCGAGCATATATAATGGATGTATTTTTGTTAAGGCAAACGCTGGAGTATGTTCTTGAGAAAAGCGAATATTTAAAGAGGCTATAATTGAATCCAGATACGGTATAATTAACGAACGCTTCCAGTAGTCACTATCACAGTCTGATGGAGGATTGTTTCTATGTATTTGCCTCTTGGTAATTCGAGGGATAGAAATTTCTATTTCCAATTCCAATGCAAAGTCTTGTGCTTTTTTAAGTACTTCATCAATAACTAGGTCGGCATCTTCACGGTTTTTCTTCAGAACGTTAAGGATTACGTTCAGATGTTCTTGCAACTTAATTAAATCCATAGTTTTTGCTTGCAAGGCATTAACAACCGGCTCCAGTAAAGCTGAATATTTTGCAATTATAGTTAGGGCAACAATTAGTGAGGGTTTGGTAACGGCGGCATGCAACTGGTACGCAGATTTTCTCGTGGCGTAGTTTCCTTCGATAGATAGTTTTTCAAGTGATTTCACAATTTCGAGGAAATTTTGTGCAAATAAGCGAATACTTTTGTATTTTTCAGACCATCTAGTCTCACACAGTCGTGATAGATTAGGAGCGGAACTTCTGCGAGTGGTGGATTCCCTGAAAAAGGTTATAACATCCTTTACGGTGCCAATAGTGTTTCTAATTTCCGGAACATTATTTGCATCATTGACAACAAGATTTATTTTATGGTTTGAGCAATTAAAAAATAATGCTCGTGTGTACTTTTTCCTTAAAATCGCTTGTACGCCACCCTCTTTGCCCGCCATCGTAGCGCAGCCATCAAAACCAAGTCCTACACAACTATGCGGTGAAAAATTATAGCTAACTAAAAAATTGTCTATTGCATTGGCAATTGCTGGGGCATCCTGTGCTGTCAGCTCCACAAAACCCACAAATTCTTCTCGGACTTTTTTTTTACTTTCATCATAGAAACGCAAGCCAATGGATAGCTGCTCCTTTCCTGAAACGTCGGCTGTCTCGTCGGCTAAAACTGTGTAGAACATGGCTTTCTTTGCATCATTTATCACACTCTCCCTAATAACTTCGCCACATAAATATATGAGTTGGTTTTGTATTTTTGGTGACGTATAAACAGCATTTCTACGACACTTTTCCAGGTGATTCTTTAATTTGATGTCGCCCGACTCAACTCGCAAATTCATTAGATCGAAAAAAACTCCCTCATCTGCTTCTTTTCCTCGTAGAGGCATATCGTGTGTGCCACAGAATACTACACAGGAAATAATAGAGGCCAATATTTGCTTGTTCTCTTCGATTGTTTTTTGGTGGAAACTTTGAACTTGAATGTCCACAGGTATATTTTCGAGAAAGGCCTTTGCAGCAGCAGATGCAGATTTGTGAAAGTTATTGGTGGCATGTTTACGACAATCTTCGTGCATATTCCTAAACTTCGTAAATGGTCTGATCATAAATGAACCTAACACTCCCCTTACTGTGCCAGTAGAAGGAGGAAATAAAACACAGTGCTTACACAGAGCACCCTTTAGTCGCTTGGAATACACTAACCATGGTGTGTATTGATCTAACCAAGCATAATTAAATTTTCTTCGCAAATGACTGGCATCGGCTGCAAAATCGTAATTCTTGGGTGGAACCCACGGATTTTTTAACAACTCTTTTTTTCTTTCCATCGTCAGGTGAAATGTTTGTCCTACATAACGACCCAAGACCCAAGTCATTTTCGTGGCAACCATCATTCTCTTCAATTTCGGGATTGACTACAGAGCCAGATGTTGACGGTAAAGATTCTAAATTAGGAGCAGTGACTTTCTTAGATCTCAAAGAATTTAGCGGTTGCTCAGATGAATTTTTAGATGGGCTTGGCGATGAAATTTGATCATTGTTATCATCGCTCCCGCTGCTACTGTCATGTTCTTTTTTCCTCTTGAGAGTTTTAGTAGCTGCAAAACACAATAATGCTGCTATTAGTATTTTATACAGTGTGAGTGATATCCATGTTAGTGTTTTGTTTAACATGTAACATGGAAAAAAACATTTTGTTTTTTTTAATTGGAATTTACAGATATTACACAAATGTCGTCGAATGTAACTTACTAACTGTAACTTACCTGTTTGAAAAAATTTCCTGATATCCATGTATCAGTGTGGAGATACCGAGATGCCCGAAATAGGTAGATTCAGCAGATTTTCCAATAAGTACTGTAACGTTTTTAGCGTGAACTTGTTCGACTACGATGTGATAAAAGCTGCCAATTAATTAAAACTGTACTTTTATTAACACTTAACTAAAATTCACTCTGATTAATTTAACTAAACACACTAACTAGTTTATGTGACATTGTTCCTTTTATATCCGAAGCGCCTGCTTCTCGAAGATTCTCTCCGCAGCACCTACGAAGCTTCGCGCTGCGTCTCGAGAATTCTCCACGCGGCCGGGAAGAGTCAGAGGCGGACTCAGGGTAATTTTCGTTACAGTACAATCTAATATAAATTTCTGACAATGTTTACTAGTGTAACGTAACTGCTAACAACATAGCATAGACGTTTATCAACAACTAAGTAAATTAAGTTTACTTGCAGTACTTGCACAAACAAATTAACATTGAATAACAAATGAAAATAATCGAATTCCGTTAGAAAAACAACACAATACAACAAATTCGCAGGGGCCAGGATCGTAATAGAAAATTCATATTTCTTTGCTAACTCCGCTAATTGCAAATCTAGTAGGCTGTGCAGTGCGCTGCGTTTGACTTACGTAGGTATATGAATATATTTTAGTAGTATTTAGTAGTATATTTTTCGGGTTTGTATTTTTTTTAGTAAAACCATAGTGGTTTATTTTGATTTTTTTATTTTCTGCACTTAGCGGAGCCTTTTTATAATTTATAAAAAAATTTAGGGGGGGGGGCAGCTGCCCCCCCTGCCCCTCGCTGGGTACGCCCTTGGATTAGCTACTGGTAACGCCATACTGTTCTGGAATGATTAATTTTTAATTTTTTTAGTAAAAAAATCATTTACCAGTGATTCAAATATCTTTGGAAAATGAGACAATAGTGTTATAGGGCGGTAATTTTCAACATCCTCCTTGTTGCCAGAATGTGTTCCATATTCCTTTCCATAGGACAATATATGGGGTTAACAGCCCTTTACATAGGTATATGTCTTTAATTAATTGTCATGATATTGATGTCTTTAATGTATCGATAGGGATTTTTAAAAGGGCAGTTTTGTTATGAAAATAATGGTGTGGAGCAGTATTACGTATGTGTATATATTTTTTTTTCTTTTCTGGGTAGCTTAGATTGTTTTTCGTTAAGTTTAAATTTTGTTGCTTCTTGTTTTTCTCTTAGTGTTAACGCTTACTTGCTGCAGGTTTTATAATGTATATACCTAACCAATTTATTATTTTTTGTTGTAATTTTGCTGTTAATGGGGTTATCCCGTATAATAAATAAATAAATAAATAAATTTTTAAAAATCGGACGTATTAAAGATAGTTTCCAATATTGAGGGAAGTCTCCAACAGATAGTAGCCACAAGGGCCTAGGGCCAGTGGGCAATTCTTAAGAATGTTGGAGGTATTCCATCTGGTCCTGGACCTTTGGTTATACCCCGGATGTCTCGCCGGATGTACTCAGCTCTCAGCTTATTGAAAACTTCGCTAATATATAGGTAAATTGCAAAATGTTGTTCCATTCTAGATTTGATTCATGGTTGCGAGTTTTGTTGAACAACTTTGCATTATTTCTTAAATGTAGTCATGAGCATTAAAAAGTGGGAGACCCGACTGACAGGTCTTGAATTTAGAAAACAGAACTTGCTCCAGAGTCCAGATATCAAAAACAGGTAAACTACACTATACATCTTTTAAAGTCAAACATGACCAGAGAATAAGTAAATGAGACCCACATAAACCCACCTGAAATACTTTATTTCTTCTTAGGAAACTCAATATGCTCACCTTTTCGTAAAACGCCACTAGGGTGGTATTTGGTAAGGAACGAGTGGCTGTGCCACACCTCTCACATAAACATTTTATGTCCTTTAGATACCATAGAGCAGCATGCAAGCACAAATCGTAGAGTTTCAGAGGATTCCGTACTTCTATAGACATTTTTGCTGTGGGATTTTTACTTTACACTAACTTTGTGAAGTAATTACGAACCGGAAACGAGATCTTTAGAACAACACAATAAGCATTATAATATGGAAAAGTTATCATTTGTATTTTAACATTTTAAATGTGATTTGTGTGTGTTTATTTATAAGTGTGGGAGGATTAAAGTCAAATGTCAAAAATGAATGAAGTCATATGATAGAAGAAATGATGAAGCATATCGATTTATCGATACGAATTTGTCATATCGAAATTATTAATATGTATCGATGTTCTTGCAAAGTCCTATTGGCACAGAAATAGTATCGTACTTTACTATCGTATTGAAAGAATGATTGAAAGCATCGAGTTTCATATTAATATCGATATGGAAAAGGTTTTGATACACCGAAAATATCGTATCGATAAAACCTAAAAAAATACAGCATCTTTATATACTATGTGAAAATCTCAAATAAACCACCCCTTGATAGATAAGCCTTCAGTTCACACAAAATAACAAATAATGCCACAATTTATTTACAACATGTAATGTAAAAACTAATAAATCATGAATTCCAATATCTAAACACTTAAATCAGTACATAATCAATTGCAGACCAAAAAAGAGATTTCCTATTATCAAATGAGAATTATAAATATTAAATTCCTATATTGGCTGAGCCGTTGCAAAATTATAGCCGCCACTTTGCCCGGAATGTTGTGGTGCCGCAGTGGCCGTCCTGTCGATGTCTTCGTACGATTCAGTTCGAGTACCAGCGAACATATTAGGAATATTTGCTGAAAGCAAATATTCAAATGAAATTCGATATTCGGATAATATATAGGGTTACTTACCTGTGTTGCCGCCTCTTTCCTCTAAATTTTTAATCAGCACAAAGGTGGTGAATGGCCTTATAATCAAATGCAAGACTGCCATCGCCGCAGAAAACTTTGCTGCTGCCCCTAAATAAATAAGTATCAATACTGACTGACTGATGTTTTGTAGGCAATTAGCTTACCATTGAGGGAATATGGAAAGTTCATAATTAAGAGCAATATATCGAGAATTATTGAGGAACCGTTAACTACAATCGCCTAGAAATTAACCAATAATAAATAACTGTTTTAATCCAGGATCCAGAGGTTTCTTACCAATTGTAAAGGTTCTTGTAGTTGTCCATGAAATATGCTCCATAATAAGAGGAATATCAAAATACTGTTGTAGAATAGGTAGGCATTGGTTGCCCAAAATCCCATACAACTCAGGGATATAAATACAAAATGTATTAAAAATATTATCTGGAAAAATGGCATTAAACATTTAATAAACAATAAATTGATTTACTTACTTTTACATTCAAATTTGGTATTTGTTGTGTTAACGAAGGCATCTTTGTGATTTGTATATTATAAAAACACACAAAAGCGAATCAAATCTCAGTAGGTGGGTTAAATTAAATTAGTTGTTTACTCATCATCGTATTAATTATTCAAATCAAATAGGTTTTTAACGCATAATTATTAATTATTTCACAATATTTGGGGATTTTTGTAGTAGGGATTTCGAATTTGGTATAGAAAATCAGTGTTGCCAACATCAAAATCATCTGTATTTAAGCTAAGTTTAGGAAAGATTAGGATATATCGATAATTTTGGAATATCGATATGTGAAAACAATAATAGCTTTGTTCCCGAAATACATTCCGAACCATGCCTGTATTTATGAATCAGTTCAAATCACATTTTACCGTGAACTATTCTGGGCGCGTTTGAGTTGACGATCGGTGCACTCAGAACGTGCACTTTTGTCTTTCTTCCGTTATTTTTGAAGCTCCGACAACGCTCGATTGTGTTTGGTTTGACATATTTTGAGCGCTCCGAGCGAGCTCGATAAACTCCGAGTTTGTGGAGTGGGCAGCTGGAGCGTGCATGCGCAGATCAAATGTGTTTACTTTTAATTGAATTTTCTCGGTAGTCATCATTACTGGCATTATTGAACATATTTTTCCAAGGGAACTTGGCAGCCTCAGAGTGTTTAGGTCCATTTTATTGTTTATGTAGCACGATATTTTTAGCAGAACACAAAAGAAAATGGGGCTGTTTGAAAATTATCGACTAAAATAAAAAATAAACGAGAAAACTCTGGTGCGAATGCGGAGTGCGGGCTCGGACTCCAAAAAATATATCATAAAAAAATAAACAATAATCAGCTGATCGCTCAACTCAGCACTTTTGCACGGGTTTATTTGGCTTGACACGGTGTACCCCCTATGACGTCACGTTACTCGGTAATCGCTCTGCTCGCTCCGCCGAGCGTCAACCCAAACACGCCCTCTGAAACCAGAAACGGAACAAGGAACAATATAGCCCCAAAAACAGCGTAGTCTCAAACTTTTGGTTCTTAGATCCATCAGAACTTGAACAAGTTAAGAATGGATTTAGAACAGATTCTAGTTGAACTGCGAACAAAGAATTGTTCTGTACCCAAAATTCGGAATTTGAATGCATATGTATATGTATATTGAGGGTATCAAGTTATAAAAGTTCAATAAAGGGTGGTTTTGCTTGGATTTGAATGATGCTAGGAGGTTTCTTGAAGTTTGGAGTGTGAAAGGAGCATCCGATTCTCATCAACGATTTTTCAGCAGAAGCGCATTACCGCCAACGGTATAGTAAAAGGACAGTTTTTGGATGAACTCTAACATCTTGGACAAAAGCAATGATTTTTGAAGTGAAAGCTTCTTTAGGCGCGTTCAGCAAGCACTCTTTTTGTGGCTACTATAGGTGGGTTCGGCTTGCTCACTCCGAGTTACTCCATTCGCACTCCAGCCGCTCGGGTTACGGTTCGGGTATTGCGTTTTACCGTATTAGAGGTGACTCCATTAGCTCTGTTCACTCCACTCCAACTCCACGCTGAATAGCCGAACCCAGCTTATGAAGTTGCTGAGCCGTCAGTCTCAGCTATATGTAACGCTCATTCGAGTACAGGGTACAGTCGACTTCAGCCTGCTTCCATAAATTTCCAATACGAATTTCATAAGCATTGCCGCCATATTGAATTCTGGTATTTGTGGTTTGAATCCGAGGATAATACACACTGCTACTACAGGATAGCTTATCTTCATAAGGTCTGTGTAGATCAAATCTCAAGCTCCTCACCGCACCAAAGAAACAGTGATGACGTAGGCAGCGTGTCGTTACTCGCCTTGACCTCGGGCGTTTGCAAGGATAATACCCACACTACTACTATTAAAATTAAATGATATTTTTCAACATAAATTTGAATTGTAAACTAGGACCATTGGAGCAAGCAGCTGACGACTTAGTAAATGACGTCGCCAATGTTGATACACATATCGCCTCGATTGCCAAAAACGAGGCCGATAAGCAGTAGTTGTGTGTTATTATCCTTGAAGCGTTTGCACAATAGGTTGTGATTCCGCGAGTTTTTGCTTATGCATAAGTACTTGGCTTAAGTAAGTACATTATTTAACACTCCAAAACAATAAACAACGCTTTTAAACAAGATCTTTCTTTTTGCCTATTAGGTTAATCAAAATTAAATAATATTTTTCATCATAATGTATATTATTAGGCAGTCTTTGGCGAGGATAACCAAGCTTAATCTGACTATGCTGGGCTATATAACTCCATCTCCATCAAATTATGGGCCTGCGAGTGGCGTCACTATCAGCAGCTCATAGTGATGATGTCACCCGCAGACCTCGATTGATTGCTTGCGATTCAGGCTGTGCTAGTGAGTTAATTTTTTCGTGAATTTCAAATGTAGAAGAGGTGATTTTCGGTCTGTTCTCACAGAAGAAATTTAGTGTTCTTGATCCTCGAGTATCCCAGAGTTTGATGGTGGGGGAATTAGGAGGTGAGTATGACACAATTGACGCATCAAATAACCCAGCAAAAGATGATTATGCTTGGTTATCCTCGCGAAAATCTATTCTAAACTACAACCGTTGGCGCAAACCAAGGATAATACACACTACTGCTACTACTACTACAGGATAGCCTATTCTCATAAGGCCTGTCTAGAATAAATCTGAAGCACCTCACTACGCCAAATCACCAGTTGTGACGTTGGCAGCATGTCGTTTCTTGCCTTGACGTACGTTGTTTGCACCGTCCACAGGTTATGATTCCGCGGGCTTTTGCTTTATGCATACTTGGTTTTACTACATTAATAATTAACATTTTAAACAACTATTTTTCACATCTTGTTTGCATCTTTCTATTTGCCTAATATGTTAATTAAAATTGAATAATACTTTTTCTACAGCCGTGGAATATTAGTATATTTTGCAACAAGTGATGAAAATGGCACTTTTCACACACGTTATACACTATACTTTTTCTACGACTGCGAAATAATTTCAACTATATTTACATTGAGATTTATTTACTTATTTTTCTGCTGGAAAATTATTAGTTAAAGTTAATGGGAGCGTGTGAAAAGTAATTTTCGCACGGTCGGAGCCTGTAAAAAGTACTTTTCGCACGCTGTGCGAAATAATCGATTTTCTACGTAAGTTAGTAGTGCGTTTTTATTAATACTAGTGCGGAAAAATTTCACCGCACGGCCATCAAAAAAAAAATAAACACAAATTATGTAGCTATACTTATTTCGGATTTCCGCATGTCTGTAGAAAAACTATTGTACCTAACGCTTGCGGAAAATGTTTTTCTGCACTCGGCTGCGTCACCGAACAACGTGTAAAACAGCTGCGTCGCTGACGACTTAGTTAATGACGTCGGCAATGGTTATACACCAATATGGCGGCGATTACCAAAAACGAGTCTGATAAGCAATTCAGTAGAGTGTTATATCCTCGAGCGCAAATAGCTGACGATAAGCAAACCTGTGTAGTAGTATGTATTATCCTTGGTTAAAAGGTGGGCATATGGGTATATGGCAAGAGCCGCTTTCCAGAGTGACAAATTTGAAGGTGCTCCACACCCTTATGGCGTTTCCGATTGGTAGATTCAGTGCACATTGAGTGTATTCGCATCCTTTTAATTGACCCGTAGAAGAAAAAGACAGAAATAGAAAAAATTGCACTAGTTCCGCACTAAATCTACCAATCGGAAACGCCATTAGCTTCACACTCAATGTTCACATTCTGGTGCTCCAAACAACTGTTGTGTCAGTGGAACGCACCCTACTTTAAGCCCCGACATGCGAACCGTTCTATACTTTATTTTTTCCCAAGATAGATTTTGACATTGAAAACTTTGAAACATAAACAATAAAGCCTAGTCTCCATGGACGCGAAATCGCGAATTTTTTTTTGCGGATATTTTCCGATTGGTTGAAATTTGACATTTAAAATTTGATTTTTTTATGGCGGGAAAAATTCGCGAATTTTTTAACTTCTTGTGGCGTCGCAAAAAAGTTAACTATTTTTTAACTTTCCGCGAAATTTCGCTAAAAAAAAATGAGGTTATGTGGTGTTACTTTCAGTTTAGTTTTGTTTATGTTTTTGTCGGTATGTGCTCTGTTCTCTGTGAGTCGTTGATGTGTTTTGTACTTGTAGATACCTAATAAAGAATGGATACTGCCAAAGAATTGAATATTGTAGACCCGAAAACAGACATAAATTACAGCTTGCTGGTTGATGAGGAAGATTATAATAGGGCCTTAAATGTAATTAAGACAACACCAAGACACATATTTTTTTTTGTTTTTTAGTAATCACTTTCATGGTTTTCAAAGATTAGTGTTTGAAATTCAAAGCATTTAAATCGAATTCAAATTGATTACAAACAACAACACATAGGTAACCTTAACCTGTTAAATAAAACGCGAATTTCGCGCTTATGGAGACATGGGAATAATTTGCTCGGAAATAGCCACCAAAAAATGACACTTAAAAAATTCGCTTTCCGCGATTTCGCGTCTATGGAGACTAGGCTTAACGCTTGACCCTGATTGGTCGCAAAATGAGGTGTTTCTGCAGGTTGACATCAGTTTTACAATAGCGGCCAATAAGTGGCATTAGTCAAACTGTCAGACATCAAAAAAGCATGAAAACAATGGTTGACAGCCGTTGACAGTGGTTTGTAGACAAGACTTTTGAGAGTAACTTTTATTTCCTCGGTTTTTTCAAGGACTATAAGTTTTGATCTTTAGATAGATGCTGAATTATTTAAAATATAGCTATCAAAAAATAAACCGTTTATAAAGTATATGTCCGGAATTACCCAATGCGTGTCCAAAACTGCCCCACCGTGGGGCACCTTCGGACAAATGACAACTTTTTTTCTTTTTAATTTTCACAAAAAACGGTACAAGTTTTTTTTGAAATTGCTATGGTATTGGCTCAAAAACATATGAAGCAATATGTTTCCATTTTTAGAACATTTAGTTTAGCTAAAATAAAAGTTCGGTATCACCTTAACCAAATCCGTCCGAACCTGCCCCACTCTACCCTACGTTTTTTCTCCTAAGTGACAAATGAATTGACCGTCTGGAAATTACCGTTCTAGAACGGTTCTCATGTCGGTTGGAACAGATCTTTTGATGCACCTACAAAAATGCAGGTGCTTGAGAAGGCACAGAGAGGAAAAACGAATAGTTCAGCGAAACTCTAATGCACTGGAACGCCTATAAACAGCCCGTGTCGCTCTAATGGCGATTTCCATTTGTCATCTGAGGCGGAATTCTGTAACGGATAAAGATCGTTATCGATATCGCTATGGCACTTGCTGTCTTCTTCTCTCTTTTCGAAATCAATAGAGAGGGGACTTCAATAAAGATAGCGAAAATATCGCTATTCGTACAGAATCCCAACCCAGTGCCGCACTGAGTGTATCCGCATCTTTTTCTAAAAGCATGTAACATGTAAGGACAAGGATAGGTACATTTTTTTTGCCCTGATTCGACAAATGGAAAACGCTATAAAGCAGCGGGAGTGCCTTAAGTGCATCACTAGAAGCGACTCAGGATTTGTTTCCTGCTTAGTTTTTCCCATAACTGAGCCGTTTTATCGCGTCCATTTTTTTAAGTAGACGCGAGAAAACGGCTCTGATGTTTATTTTATTTGTCTGCAATTCAAGGCATCTACACGAGTTGAGGATAGTAAATGGCTTGGATCCTGTAATGTCCTGAAGCCCTTAAATAAAACTTCAGCTTCTTTTAGTCCTTTGGTACGATATTTATTGGTTTACAACGATACTGTTGGGGATACATAAATTATACGGCAATCTCTAGTTCGGCAGTCGCAGACAGGCTCATCAGCTGGTCCGTCGTGATGGGCCAATCAATGTTCTGCGCGTGTGCGCCAATAGAACATATTAAGCGGGGTTTCCACCAAGACACATACACCCCGTTTATGTGGAGGGACTTTTTGGTGTTTCAATATGGATTTTGTCAGGTTTTTACTCTTTTGCTACAATCCATAAAGCCCTACAAAGTATAGACAAATCGTTTTTTTTTCGTTAAAAACCTGTGTTTTGTCGCTGCAGGAACGGCATGAAACGAGACTTTCTCGCGATTAGAATTTAGAACAGCTCCCTCAGCTAAGTATAATACATAACGTATGCATTTACCAAAAAATCGACACTTTACTACTTTACAGACTTCACACAAATCAAAAAATCGCAATAAAACGTAGTGTATATGGCATTGGCCTCCATTTTTAATTCTTTTTGACAGGTCGTTGGATTGCAAGGATGATACACACTTACAGGGCCGAGATTCTAAAATCACGATTCGACACACGACTCGACAACGATACCGGCCTTGTCGTGTCGAAAGCTATAATTCCAATGAGATTTCTAACCTAGAATCGTCGGAAAAATCGTCTCGTTGTCGAATCGTATGTCGAATCGTGATTTTAGAATCCCCGACCAGGATTGCTTATTGGTTATCGCCGCCATATTGGTGTGTCACTATTTCCGACGTCATAACTAATTCGTCAGCTGTTTAAACAGCCTACGTCAAAGCGAGTAATTACATGCTGCCTAGTCACAAATGGTGATTAGGTGTAAAGGGGGAATTTGTTTCACACAGGCTTTATAAGGATAGGCTATCCTGTAGTAGTAGTATGTATCATCATTCAGTGCAAACAGAACAGCCTACGTCCATCCGAGAAAGGAGATGCTCTCTACGTCACAACTGGTGATTTGGTAAGGAATGGAATAACCCTTTTCACGTGGCTCCGGTTTAACAAACCGCAACATTCGAGTGGTAGGTATCCACAATCCACACGTCACTTTTTAACCGGGTTAGAAAACGGTATGTCATTTCTCTAACCGTTTTGTAACCCGGTTAGTTAAACCGGAGCCACGTGAAAAGAACTAACGGGTAGGGGTAGGGAGGATTTGTTCAAACAAAGGTTCAAACCGACTACCGACCTCAGCGGTTTGCGCTTTGCGCCAGACGCCAGCGGACGTTGTTTAAAATTTAAATTTTTGATGAAAAATATCATTTAATTTTGTTTGATTAACATGATAGGCAAATGGGAAGATGCAAACGAGATCTAAAAAATTGTTGTTTTTTTTTTATCAATCTCTGCTTAGCCGAATTTGAGCGTCATCTTAATTATAGGTCTGTTTCTGCAGAAACCACAAACCAGTCAGAGAGAATTTCATTGGTTGAAACTAGTTTTCTGACTGTTTTCAACCAATGAAATTCGCTTTGACCGATTTGTGATTTCTGCAGAAACAGACCTTATAAAGTGTTATAAATTACTTAAAATAGTATATTGTGTATTTAGGTGGAAAAGTGACACATTCTCACAAGGCCGAGAATGTGCTTTTCCACCGAAATACACATACTATTTTTTCTGCGATCGTTTAAATACCTGTTAAATGTTTGTCTTTTGGTTACAAATATTCAGCAGTACGAGAATCACTTTCCCGGCCTAGGCCGGAAAAGTGTTTCCTGTATTGTTATTCATTGATTTCTTAGCAACTATTGAAATACCAGAATATTGAGTTTTGCGACCTGTCAACCAGTCGAAAATGCTGACATTTCTTGTCAATCGCAGAAAAATTATCTTTTCTTGACTTGCAATTTAAACAGCTTAAGGTAATTTTTGACTTTCTTATCTCAATGGAATGAGTAATGTTTTAAGGCCAAATTATGGACCAACTGGTAAGTGTCTAACAGGTACTTTCTTTTATTTAGAGCCATATTATGGACCTACTGGTAATGTCTCTGGCAGATTTACCCTGCTAGTAAATCTAATAATTGAATGCAATTTTTAGCTTTACCAGCAGGATACAGGTGCCAATAACGTTACCATTCGGTCCATAATTTGGCCCTTAGAGAGCATAGAAAGTACCTGCTAGGTAACAACCAGACGTTTACCAGTCAGTCCATAATTTGGCCCTTAAATCGGATATTATTATTGAAAAGACCCGAATAAGTAAAAATAAAATATTTGTTTTTTTGAGAAATAATTATGCCCTTTATTTTATTATTTACATTTATTCTTCCAACAACAACACAAATCCCTTAAGCCTAATAAATTACTTCTTGTTATTCCTCTTCAGTTTTTTTTTGTTCTTGTTATTCTTTTTATTTTTTTTGGTCGACTTTAATTTCCTCGGATGCACCCAAACAGGATAGGCTCCGTGTTTGTCCCGTAAAGTCCTGGGGTTAAACTCTTTTCTGATTTCTTCCATATCCATTACATCGCTTGGTCCAGCAGCGGCTGGTGCTGGTGTCGCTACAGTCTCAGCTTCGATGTCTTCAATAGTAATAACGTTTGCAACTTCTTGGATTTCGGACATAACAGCCTCAGTCTTGACTTTATTTAGCGGGTCATTGGTAAGCGTTTTTTTCAATCTTTCCAATTCTTTTTCGCCATAACGGACTCTTTTCACTGCCCTGCACTTTCTACGCCACTTGCTACGGATACTTTTGGCCATTTTATGGGAAATTTAGAGGATTTGTTGTTCAAATAAACGTGGACTTTGAAAAAGAAAAATCTGAGGTTACATTATACGATTTGTTTATTTTTTTTGATTTATTTTGACATTCGAAAACTCTCCTGAAAATTGCAGAAATCTGTAATAGGTCTGAGTTGCTTTCAGGTTTCCACCCTTTGGGCGCTCCCGAGTTACTCCGAAGTACTCCAGTTACAGTTTGACTCGTTCTGTTTCAAGCGTTCGAGTGCAAAAAGCATAAACTTTTTTCACGTGGCTCCGGTTTAACAAACCGCAACATACCGCTCAAATTCGAGTGGTAGGTATCCATCACGTCACTTTGTAACCAGGGCCGAGATTCTAAAATCACGATTCGACACACGACTCGACAACGATACCGGCCTTGTCGTCTCGAAAGGTATAATTCCAATGAGATTTCTAACCTAGAATCGTCGGGAAAATAGTCTCGCTGTCGAGTCGTATGTCGAATCGTGATTTTAGAATCCTCGACCTGGCTAGAAAACGGTATGTCATTTCTCTAACCGTTTTGTAACCTGGTTAGTTAAACCGGAGCCACGTGAAAAGAACTATAGAGTATAGGTGCGTACGATAAGTCCAACTACTGACACTTTTTACCTTGACCCGTCATTAGTGTCGCACTTTTTACACCATTCGTACCGCTAACCGGTTCAGACCAGAGATATGTCGTACGCACCATTCGACAGGGGTGAAGTGTTCTATAGGAGCTTCGCACTCTGGGGCGAGTTCAGGAATGACGCACCCAGTGTGAGTGTGACACCGGTGCGACGCCCTAGCTGTTCAAAAATACTAGACGGTGCTATGGGCCCAATGGCCAATTGTCAGTTCAGGCACACCCATAAAATCGCACTCGCACACTGTGCGTTATTTCTGAACTCGGCCCTGCACCAAGCGGCTCTGTGACAGAAGACTGTAATGTTATCAGTAGTGACGTCATACGTCATAAACAGCTGTGGTAAACAACATTAGTTTAGCAACAATATTTTTAAACAAAAACAAAAATAAGGTATTTTATTTATTAAAAAACTATTTTAGTCCGCTTACCAAAAAACCCCTTAGAAAATGAACGAATTCTTAGCAATATATAATCCACCACAATAGAGGTAAGCAATTTATTCAATCTCAAAACAATTACAAAAACAGTGAAAATTCATTTAAATAAAAAACCCAATGAAGCCTTAAATAATATGGAAATTGAATTCCCTTGGAAAGTTCTTTTTAAGTAAAAGTGCATTTTCAGTTATGGAATCTGAGCGAATTCTAGTGGCTGCAGGTCTGACTGCGGCCGCAGTCGTCGGGGCGTTTGTATTTTGGGGCCCTTCGACTGGTTCGGGGAGCCGACGTGGTCGCCTTGCCGGTTTGGTAAATTTAGGCAGGACCTGTTTTTTAAACGCTATCCTTCACGCTTTGGCTGCTTGTCCGCACTTTGTACAGTGGTTGGAAAAGGATCCTGCCAGAGAGACAAGCTTAAGAAACACTTTGGCTACAGTACTATCTGGTAAGAGTTGACGACTATTATTGATATTATGAAAGTATTAACGATAATATTGTTTACTGTTTCGTGGGTTATGTGATAGGCAAGAAAAGGCTAATTATTCTTTGGGACGTTTTGGTGCTGTATTGCGCCTTTTTAAACCCTATTGTAACAAACCACTCTTATTAGTATTTTATTTTTCACAGATTCTAGCATAATTGCTTGATTCTACACGAATGTAGGTATTTGACATATCCCCATGATTCATCCTCAGAATAATCAATTTTTCCAAATGAGCTGGAATTCTCAAAGATTGTAGTACTCCACAAGGATGAGAATTGCTGCAATTTTCAGCTTTCTATCTATAATAAAAAATAAGCTATGAATTTCCAAAGTTTTCAAAATTCTAAATCGTAAGAATAATAGAAACAGAGCTTTGAATTTTCAGAGTTTTCAAAAATCTAAATCATAATAAGATAGGTAAAGGGCTGGATAGAAAGTCAGTAATTTTCCAAGTATTTTGAGACACCCTTTGGAGTGAACTACTGGAAATTGAGAACAGTTTTCAACACCCAATTGTGGCATGATCTTTTCCGAAAATTTACATTATTCACTCTGATATTTTCATTATTATTGAAAATACAGAGTTTCAATCAAAATCAGGCTACAATTTGGTGTTGAAAACAGATCTCAATTTTCAGTAATTCACTCTACAGGGTGTCTCAAAAAAGTCTGAAAATTACTGACTTTCCTTCCATCCCTGTATGTGATATAAAGACGAATCATTCAATGGCGGTAATACGTCAGATGTATTCGTGAAGAATCAAGCTACATTCTGTGAAAAATACATCGAAATCAAGAGGATGTATGAGAAAAAATTGATTTCGAAGTAACTGTAAATTTTAACAGTTTCCGATGTGTATAAAAATGACAGAAAACCTGAAAAAGAAAAGACCGACATATGCCTTAATAGTAGATCAAAAGGGCGAGGACTTCAAGAAGATGCTAGGAAATGTCAAGACGGGGATCAAAAACACAAACAAAAGCAACATTATCAACTCCATGCGACAGACAAAGGATAGAAAGTTAATCATAACAACGGACAGAGACGATGATGAGATAAAAATACTAGAAGAAAAAATCAAGAAATCAAACAAAGAGGCGACCCTAAGGATAGTGGGACCAAACACAAACAAACGTAATGAAGTGGTATACATTAGAGGCATAGACGCATGAGAAGACGGAACTGCGCATAGGACTAGTGAGATGCAAATTGGAGTGAAAGACTAAGTCTCAAAAATCCCCTAATTATTTTTCAAAAGGAACGATTGCTCTGATTAATAAGAAAAACAAAGCCTTCAAGAAATATAAATACACTTGATTAACGTATGATGAGTGTCAATACAAAATACTTAATGTCTATCAACTTAGCGAGACAACTTCGGAAAATCGATTTTCCGTTATGCCAAGAATTTGCCGCTTTTTTGCCGCTAATTAAATGTGGAATTAAAAATTTTGCCGCTCTTTTGGTTTTTTCTTAATTACGTGTTTTGCTAACTTGACGTCAAGATAGCGAGACAACATCATCAAATATGTCAGCAGTAAAAAATTAGGTAGATGAAAATTTGCCGTTTTTTTGCCGCTAATTAGTTGTGTAAACCAAAAATTTGCCGGTTTTTTTTTTCCATAATTAATCAAGTTTGAAAAAAAAATCATGTGTTTCGCTAACTTGACGTCAAGTTAGCGAGACAATATCACTAAAAATGTCGGTAGTGATAAGTTGAGTGAATGGAAATTTACTGTTTTTCTGCCGCTAATTAGATGTGGAAACTAAAAATTTGCCGCTACCTTTCTTTTCATAAGAAAATCGTGTTCGAAAATAAAATAATGTTTTGCTAATTTAACGTAAAGTTAGCGAGATCACTAAAAATGTCGGTAGTGATAAATTGAGTAAGTGCAAAATATCGGGTTTGAAAAAAAATATCATTGTTCAATTGACATCAAGTGAGCAAAACAGTATCATTAAAAATGTCGGTAGAGAAAAATTTAGTGGTAGAGAAAAGCTGTGGAAATTTGCCGCTTTTTGCCGCTAATTAAATGTGAAAACCCAAAAATTTGCCGCTCTTTTTCTCCATGAAAAAATCGTGTTTGAGAAAAACTTGTGTTTCGCAAGCTTGCCGTTAAGTTAGACCGACATCAACACAAAAAACGAAGGGCAGTATAAAATTAGGTGAGTAAAAGTAAATGATCTCCCACCCTTGATTTTTATGCAGCCTGTAAGTATATTTTAATTAGTGAAACTCAACATTTGTTGGAGCAAATATTTATTTCTAAATTTTTTGAGAATAGTTTTACATTTTTTTTTCTTTAGCTTAGGAAAACTCTATTGAAGCCTTATAGGTTTCAAAAATCAGAAAGCGAAATATCGTGTGCTCATTTATACAGAAAATCAAATAAAATTAGAAATAAAATCAAATTGGGATAAAATGGAAATTATCGATAATTTTTGGCAAATTTTCCCCAATGCATTTTTAGTTGAAAAAAAGCACGAGGGACGAGTGCCTTTTCAAGTTAAAAATGCATGAGAGCAAATTTCTCAAAAATTATAGATATATTTCCATTGCTCAAGTTGTATTTTATGAGAGAATTTCATGAATCAAAAATTTAAATTTTTAGTATATCCTCGTAAGTATAAAATGTCAGCAATCAGAAAAAATGTCAAATGCCACCCGTTAGTAAGCAATTATCCAATCCGATAATCCTGCACTAGTACAAATTATCACGTAATCGTAATCTGATTGGTTGAAATCAACAATTAAAAAATGCCAGTTTATGCATGGGATCTGTGTCATTTGCGCGACAACCGTTTGCGCGATACGAAAAGCGCGAGGGACAAAATAACGACGGAACAAAAACGCGACAGGACAAGTGCGCGATGGACAAAAACGCGACTGGATAGAGGCGCGAGAAACAAAAGCGCGAGGGACAAAAGCGCACGGCTGCGCAAAAACGCGACTGGATAAAAGCGCTAGAAGCAAAAGCGCGAGGGAAAAAAAGCGCGACAGAACAAAATCGCGACTGGATAAAGCCCGATTGGCCAAGAACGCGAAGTGCCTTACTACGAGAACTGGAGATCGTTTTCCAAAATACAAGATATTTTTGGTGGCTCCGGTTCAAAAGAACGATATTTAAAATAGCAACATCAAAAAGGCGACATATTGTTAAAGCGATATATCAAAATAGCGACATTTGGAACAGCGATATTCAAAATGGCGACATCTAAAAAAAACAGCAACATATCAAAAGAGCGACATATGTAAACAACGAGATTTAGAACAGTGACAAATTAAAAGAGCGACATTTACAACGACGACCTCTAAGCAAAAGAGGGAAACATCAAATTCTTCCAATATTAATCAAAATTATGTAGACTTACTCAAACTAACCCGTCCGTCTAGGGCAATCTCGTCCTCGTGAGTTAGCATTTTATTTAAAAAGCACTGCGCTCTCAAGAGACCCTGAGCAATCAATCAGTGAATTAACTTTGTTTTTTTAAATAAAATGCTTACGAGGACTAGATCGTACTAGGTGGACGGGTTATTTTGGGTTAGTTTTAGTAAGTCTGTATTGCGACATCAATTTGAACCAATAATAATAAAGCAAATAGAGACTTGCTCAAACTAACCCAAAATAACCCGTCCGCCTAGTGCGATCTAGTACTCATAAGTTAGCATTTTATCCAAAAAAACAGTCAATTTATTTATAGCGTAGGGTCCCTTGACCGCGCCTTGTTTTTCAAATAAAATTCTATTTAACGAAGACTAGATCGCACTAGGGCAACAGGTTAGTATGGGTTAGTTTGAGTAAGGCTGCATTTTTCTGAATATTATTGATACAATTTGATGTGTCCCTCTTTTGCTTACAGTCCTCGTAGATAGTTAGATACCTCGCGTTGTTGTCCAATCGTGCTTTACTCCAGTCGCGTTTTTGTTCCGTCGCGTTTTTTCCCTCGCGTTTTTGTTCCGTCGCGCTTTTGTCCCTCGCGCTTTTGTTTCTCGCGCTTTTCTCGCTCGCGCCTTTGTTTCTCGCGCTTTTATGCAGTCGCGTTTTTGTTCCGTCGCGCTTTTGTCCCTCGCGTGTTTAGTATCGCGCTTTTCTCCCTCGCGCAAACGACTGTCGCGCAAATGACACAGAGCCCAGTTTATGGTTCGAATACCAGTTTTGACAGATGAATAAAATTTTCTACCGACATTTTTATTGATACTGTTTACTGTTTTGCTAACTTGATGTCAAGTTAGCGAAATACATGATATTTTTTTTCAAACGCGATATTTTCTTGTAGAAAAAGAGATAACTAGCGGCAAATTTCCGCTCACTCAATCTATCACTACCGACATTTTTAGTGATCTCGCTAACTTTACGTTAAATTAGCAAAACACTATTTTATTTTCGAACACGATTTTCTTATGAAAAGAAAGGTAGCGGCATATTTTTAGTTTTCACATCTAATTAGCGGCAAAAAAACGGCAAATTTCCATTCACTCAACTCATCACTACCGACATTTTTAGTGATATTGTCTCGCTAACTTGACGTCAAGTTAGCGAAACACATGATTTTTTTTTTCAAACTTGATTTTTTGTAAAAAAAAGCGGCAAATTTTTGGTTTTCACAACTAATTAGCGGCAAAAAAACGGCAAATTCCCATTCACTCAATTTTTCACTACCGACATTTTTGGTGATAATGTCTCGCTAACTTGACGTCAAGTTAGCGAAACAAATGATTTTTTCTTTCAGACTTTATTTTTTATGAAAAAAAAATAACCGGCAAATTTTTGATTTTCACAACTAATTAGCGGCAAAAAAACGGCAAATTTTCACGTACCTAGTTTTTTAGTGCTGACATATTTAGTGATGTTGTCTCGCTATCTTGACGTCAAGTTAGCAAAACACGTAATTAAGAAAAAACCAAAAGAGCGGCAAATTTTTTAATTCCACATTTAATTAGCGGCAAAAAAGCGGCAAA